TCTTGCTATGTGAGACTTGAAGTCATGGTTGTATAATATGATCTAGGTCTAATAAGATTATGTTAACAGACACCTCTGACATCATAATTGTATATGCAGTATATATATATAATTGTATATACATTTGCAGTTTCCTACAATAATGAGAAACCATGTGAAAACATTGCTAAGGTAGACTTTAAACACTGTTAGGACAGTATATTTTTGTACTCTTTATGTCTAACTTGGTGCCTCGTACACAATACATACTATAAAAATAGTAATTGTGTCAATGAATGAATGAGTTTATATAATAAGACAGAATGAATGAAGTTTCCCTACTGCAATCCTCACACATTGTAGAAGGTATCTGAAGTGCCTCTGATAGCATCATTTTGCAAGGTCAAAATGAATATAGCTTCCAGTCTGAAGCATATATGATGCTAGTTTAGTTCTCAAGAATTGATAGGATTTTCTTCCATAGGTAACAAATTAGCAAAGGCATCATTGTAAGGGAATACTATGACAAAGTCTCAATCTTTCAGTGTGCCTGTGTCATCACAAATGTCTCTCCAGATTTTGGTGTTGCAGTTATCTATGTGACTCTAATTTTCTGATATATCCAAGAAAAATCACTGATTTTTAGTTCATTCTGCTGGTTTTTTAAAAATTAAATCATAGCTGTGTACATTAATGCATTTATGGGGTATAGTGTACAACAGAGTGATGACTTCCAAGCACTTTACATATTTGAGCTAAAAACAGAAGCCTGCAACTAGATGTCATTCAAAATTCTGCCTATAATTTCACCCACATTGATACCTATACTTCTATTTTATTCACCTTCTCTACTGTGTTGTATTCTACTTTATGAACGTATCGTGCTTTATCTATTCTCCTGCTAACGAATATGGATATTGTTTAAAAACAATGCTACAACAAGCATCATCATAACATCTCTTAATGTGTATGTGCAAGAGTTTCTCTAGGATAGATAACCAAGGAATGAGACTGCTAAATTATACTGTACGAACATCTTCAATTTTACTATCTATTGCTATGATATTCTTTTTGTTTGTTTATTTTTTAGAGATGGGGTCTCACTCTGTTGCCCAGACTGGGATGCAATGGTGCAATCATGAGCTTACTATAGCCTCAAACTCCTGTGCCCAAGTGATCCTCCTGCCTTGGGCTCATGAGTAGCTGGAACTATGGGCACATGCTACCATGTCTGGCTAATTAAAAGACATTTTTTATAGAGATGGGGGGGGGTCTCACTATATTGCCCAGACTGGTCTCAAACTCTTAGACTCACGCAATCCTCCTACCTTGGCCTCCTAAAATGCTGGGACTACAGGTGTGAGCCACCATGCCCAGCCTGCCACAGTATTTTTGAAAGTGGCTGTACTTATTTACATTCCGCTTGATAGTTTATTAGTGTTCTTTTTGTTCCATATGTTCACCAATACTTGACATTGTTGGGCCTTTAAATACACACCAAAATCCTGAGAGTTAAATGGTATATGTTACTGTGGCTTTATGTTTCATTTCCTTGATTACTAATGAGATTTCTTAAGTTTATTGGCCATTCATGTTTTTTGCCTCTGTAAATTGCCTGTTTATATCTTTTGCCCATTTTTATTGGGTTGTTTGTGTTTTTCTTATTGATTTGTAGGGAAGGATTGCCTTAAGATGACTTAAAAAGCAAAAACCATTGAATGACATAATGATAATTTGTTAATATTGCAATGAAAGACTTCCTTCTGTTCAACAAAACATATCAGAAACAATGTTAAAAAGTAAGCCAACCACTGGGAGAAGATATTTGCTAAATAAATAGCAAGAATTTGTTTGCAGAATTTAAAAATAATTCCTATAAATAAGTATTAAAAAAAACAAGATCAAATAATGGGCAAAACAATGGAACAGGTAATTCACAGAGTGTTGCTAAATAGCCAATAAATGTATAAATAAATGCACAACCTCACCAGAAATCAGGACAATGAAAATTAAAACACTGATAAATCTTTTCAAAGCTATTATTCTGGCAACATAAAGAGCTCAATACACCAAAGTTTTGGCAAAAATATGAATGGAATCTCTTAATCCTGCTCATTAGAAGTTGAAGATATATATATCCTTTCTCAGTGATTCCATTTTGAGGTATATAACCCAGGACAGTGATTCTTAAAATGTCACTTTTAGACCAGCAGCATCACTATCTCTTAGGAACTTGCTGGAAATGCAAATTCTCAGGCCCCACTCCAGGTCTCTTGAGTCAAAACTTCGAGGAATAGAGCCCAACAATCTGTGTTGTAATAAGTCCTCCAGGTGATTCTGATGTACATTAACATTTGAGAACTATTACAACAGAGCAACACCTTCCTAATGTTTTTGCTGAGATGTACAGAAAGAACGGAATCCTATATTGTGGCCCATATATGTATCAATCACACACACAAACTCACACAGAATAAAGTCTTTAAGAAGCAGTAATTACCCTAACTGTATGGAATGTATTTTAGTATTTTCTCTTCTATTCAAGTTCATTTCATTGATTAAAAAAACTGCTGACTTTAATCTTCTGACTGTAACCTAAGTTTGAAAAACACTGTCCTAAAGCCAGTCACGGTGGCTCACGTCTGTAATCCTAACACTCTGGGAGGCCAAGGAGGGTGGACTGCTTGAGCTCAGGAGTTCAAGACCAGCCTGAGCAAGAGCAAGACCGCATCTACGCTAAAAATAGAAAAAATTGAGGCAAGAGGATTACTTGAGCTCAAGAACTTAAGGTTGCTGTAAGTTATACTACCATGGTACTTTAGTCAGGGCTTCAGAGTGAGACTTCGTCTCAAAATAAATAAATAAATAAATAAATAAATAAAAGGTGGCACCTGTAGCTCAGTGGGTAGGGCTCCAGCCACACACAATGAGGTTGGTGGGTTCAAACTTGGCCCAGGCCAGCTAAAACAACAATGATAACTGTAACAACAACAACAAAAAAAATAGCCAGCCGCTGTGGCAGGTGCCTGTAGTCCCAGCTACTTGGGAGGCTGAGGCAAGAGAATCGCTTAAGCCCAAGAGTTTGAGGTTGCTGTGAGCTGTGACACCATAGCACTCAAGGGTGACAGAGACTCTGCCTCACAAAAAAAGATAAAAAAGAAAAAGAAAAACACTGTCTTAGAGAAACTCTTGCATGTTTGCAGCAAGACATGTACAATAATATTTATTGCAGAATTATCTGTAATAGCAAAATAATGGAAAGGACAAATCTTCCAGTAAAATGGATAAATAAATATTGGTCTATTTTTTTACAATGGAAACCTATACAGTTCCTTATATTATTAGAAATAAATTTCAAAAATGTTTATGTATATTGAGTCAAAAAAAGCATGTAGAGTATACCCTTTATATAGTTTTAAAATGTGCAAAGTTCTATCTTTTTAATATAAAGCTATGTAGTAAAAATGTAAATCTGCATGGTTATGGTAAATAGTGAATTCAGGATAGTAGTTACATCTGAAAAGGAGAATGGGATTGTTGAGGGATAGATGTAAGTCTTCAGGTTACATTATCTATAATGCTGAATTTAAAAAATTAAACAAATGTGGAAACTATTAGGAATTGATAAAGATTGGTAAAGACTAGTTGAATACATAGGTATTTGCTAACATATTAATAACATTTGATAAAAAAAGTAAATAGTAAATAAAAATCAAGCTACTCTTGAATTAACAAGAATATATTAGAAATTCAATCATTCAAAGGAAACTATTTCAATATCTTTCATCTACAATGTTTTTTTTTTAAATTCAGATATAGTTAGAAACTATTTATTTTTTATTTATTTATTTTTTTTTTTTTTGAGACGGAGCCTCAAGCTATCCCCCTGGGTAGAGTGCCATGGCATCACGCTCACAGCAACCTCCAACTCCTAGGCTCAAGCAAGTCTCCTGCCTCAGCCTCCCACGTAGCTGGGACTACAGGCGCCCGCCACCACGCCTGGCCAATTTTTGGTTGCAGCCATCATTGTTGTTTGGCGGGCCCGGGCTGGGGATTCGAACCCGCCACCTTAGGTGTATGTGGCTGGCGCCTTAGCCGCTTGAGCCACAGGCGCCGAGCCGTTAGAAACTATTTAAATTAGACACAACAAAATATATGCTCCAAGGGCTTGTGTTGCCTCTTTGGGTGACATGGGAATAGATTTTTTCTTTTTTTTGCAGTTTTTTGCCGGGCCTGGGTTTGAACCTGCCACCTCCGGCATATGGGGCCAGCGCCCTACTCCTTTGAGCCACAGGCACTGTCCTATGGGAATAGAATTTTCCATTCCAGATGTAGTATGTAGCATGAATGTGAAATAATGATTTAATCAACAAAACAAGCATTATTTACATTACTCAGTTACATGTTTGCTGGTTTCTCAAAGCTTAGAGAACCCATGCTTTTACTTTGCTGCTTTGCTAATAGCAACTTAAATCATATGTCATATGGAAGCCAGGTAGAGCATTCTGAAGCAGAAACTCATGTGGTAATGGTAAACACTACTCACAATCAATTTATTTACTAATTCTAAAGGCACCATGGCTACCAGCTGTTCTAGTCCTAAAACTACTACTTGATTATTACTAGCCTAGGAAATTAGAGGTTACTTTTCCTTCAATTCAGGGCTTCTAGTAGGTATGAACTATAGTCTCATCGAGATTTCTTTAAAATTCTAAGGCAGTGGTTCTCAACCTGTGGGTCACAACCCCTTTGTAACAATGAAAATACATTGCAGCATTAGGAAGATTGAGAACCACTGTTCTAAGGGCACTTAGGATCTTCAAAAGCACAAAGAACATTATAGGAAATATGCTACTTATATAATATGCAGAGAAAGAATAGTCAAGGTCAAGGACAAACACAGTCACTGTGCCTATGTAATGATTCTTTGATACAATCAAAGCTACTTAAAAGTATTACTTTAGGTAGAAGTAAATAAAAGTAAAAACAACCCATGTTGTTTTTCTTGGTTTGGCCTATACCTTGTTTGGCTCCCCTGGATTATATGAAGAAAACATAGGAATTTTTCGGATCTCTTCCTTTGACAAACGATTTCTCTGGATCTCATCTTCTGGGACAAATTCTATTGGCTGCGTCAGCTTCTTAGGCCCAGTCCAACACTGCTCAGGTGAAAAATCAATAACTTTTGGCACATGGAGACTGGGACCTTTACCCTGTGCTGCCTGTTCTCCCTCGTCTTGGAGTAATGACGGGTTCTCAGCTGTGCCACTATCACTCACTGATGTAGCTGAGACCAGTGAGTGGGAAGCAAAGGGTTCACCTCTCATAAGTTGGAACTCTTCAGGACGTTTTTTCATTATCATCTCTTGGTAAAAACTTTCCAGGTTGTTCATGGGATCACCTTTGTTCTTCTTTGGGGGTTCATCTAGATCAAGACAAAGAGATAGGGAAGTTCTACAACTCCTACCAATACAACCTTTGACAAATTAATAAAAATTAAATCCTAGATCTCAGATACAGAAACTCTGCTGGGAGAAGTCTGTATAGCCTGTGACAAATGACAATAGTACTATGTATATAGCTATTTTATTATAGTGCATCTCAAGTAAGGCCAGAACTATGGTGAGGCAAGTGAGGCACCTAGGACTCTCAGTATATGCACCTCTACCTGATAAGAATTTTTTAAAAATATAATCAGTATAGAATTATCATACTTCACAAACTTAATAATTCCTTAGTATCATCTAATACCAATGTATTCAAATTATCCTGATTAACTCAAAGATTGTTTTTTACATTTGGTTATTCAATTCAGAATCTAACCAGCCTTTGGTTATTCTATCTCTTGAGACTTTTTTATTTTAAATAGTGCTTCTTCTCTCCCACTTCTCTAGCTCATTCCCCCCGCCCATACACTGATTTGTTAGAGAAGCTACATTGTTCTATGAACAAATGAATTTGATGAATTGTTTCCTAATGAGAGTTGTTTAACTTGTTTCTTTAGCCCCTCTACTTCTTGGCAGTGAAATCTAGAACTATGGTATCTAATATAGTAGCCACTGGTCATGTGTGTCCATTTACATTAATTTTAAAATATCAGTTCCTCAGCCAAACTTGTCATATTTCAAGTACTCAATAGCTACATGTGGCTAGTGGATACCATATTGGACAGAGAAAAACTACATCGTTGTCAAACATTACACTGGACAGTGCTGATCTAGAGGTTTGATTAGATAGAAATTCAAAATTTTAGGCAAGAATCCTTTATACATAGATGTGTATTTTTTTACCACATCGTGTCATAAGGCTTATAAATGTTTGGTGGTCCTATTTTTATTGATGCTGATATTTGTCAGTGGAGTCAGGTGGTGTTAGTTTCATCCCTCCATTATTAAGCGCTCCCATTCACCTTTCACCAAATGAGTTTTATATCCACTGTTGACCATTGCCTAGATCTATTAAATTTTAAGAGGTCTAAAATGAGGTTTTCCTAATTCTGTTATTCCTTATTTCTTATTGGAATTCTATAATAAACTTACCGTCATCAACAATTTGGTTTTCTGGTTTTTTTTTTTTGAGACAGAGCCTCAAGCTGTCCACTTGGGTAGAGTGCTGTGACATCACAGCTCACAGCAACCTCCAACTCCTGGGGTCAAGCAAGTCTCCTGCCTCAGCCTCCCAAGTAGCTGGGACCACAGGCGCCCGCCACAATGCCCAGCTATTTTTTTGGTTGCAGCCATCATTGTTGTTTTGGCGGGCCCAGGCTAGATTTGAACCCGCCACCGTAGGTGTATGTGGCTAGCGCCTTAGCCACTTGAGCCACAGGCGCTGAGCCAACAATTTGGTTTTCTAAAATGCAGTTCATACAGGAAAAGGAGGATAAATGCTTGGTTCTTTCCATTATCCACCAATTATGAGAGTAATAAGTTGGTTCCTTAGAAATGTCCAATGGTGATGAAATATTTTCATATATTTCATGGGTATCAAGTAACTATGGTCTGTATTTTTTAGTGGTTAGATTATCCTACTTAGGACTTTCAAATTGGCTCCTGTATTGCTTCCTGGTTTTCTGGCACAGCAAGATATCCCAAGCTCATCTTGAGATGACCCTTCCTAATCCAAACATGGAATATTTCTCCAAAGACCCCTGGTTTCTTTTAGTGGGAAATGGTATTTAGAAACTACAGTGTGTTGCTAGGTGTGCTCATTGCTATCAAGTTGTTGCTTCTAGGCCTTTTCAGTGGACAAAGCTAGGACATTTTTTTAAGAGAAAAATAATCATGAGTTCATATTGGTATTTCCAATTCACATTTAAGATCACAAGGTTTTTACCTAAACTCCTTGATTTTGGACTTAACATTAGCAAAAATATTTATTAGCTTCTTCTTATAATATACTTACAGAATTTATAAATGTCAATAATAATACTACTATGACTACCAATAATGAAACTACTAAATACAGTCTTAAATTTCTTTGCAGTTACTTTTGCTCTTAGATTATACTTCATTAGAAACACATAAATGTTGTTTTAAATTCACTATAAGTAATTCTTTTCTCTATGTGATTATGCTGCCAACTTTACATATCATTAAGTTTATTTACTACACAGTTTTTGAATTTTAGGGTTGATTTTTTTTTACATTTTTGATTAAAATTTTAAATTATGCAAAACATTTACATGGATCTAAAGTGAAAATTGCTATACAGTGCTGTCACCAGAGTCTCACTTTAATCTCTCCTTCATCCCCTTCCCTTCTTTCCCATAAATAATAATTTTTAAAATTATTTTGGCATATGGTTTTATTGTTTCTTTTTTGAAAATATAAGAAAATAGACATGCACACACATACACGCACACAAAATTCATCAGTTATACCCTTCTCCTATGTAAAAAATAACTTATTATAAACGTTGTTCTACAACTTACTGTTTTGCATTTAACAATATATCCTGGAGATAATTCCGTACCAATATGTAGAGCTCTTCTTGTTCCTTCTTATATCTGCAAAGTACTCCATTGTGTGGAGGTACCATAGTTTATTCAACTATTTCCCCACTGATACACACTGGTCTTGTATCCAGTTTTATGTTGTTATGAATAATATCCTCACAGACAGCCTTGTGCATACAGGATTTGGTATTTTTTCCAGTATATCTCTGAGACACATTCTAAGAAGTGGAATTGCTGAGACAAAGGGCACATGTATATGCAATTTTCTATATATAGTTAAATTTCACTCTGTAGGAGTTGTGCTATTCTGTATTTCCACCAGCAAGGCATAGCAGTAGTGATGAAAGTACTTCTTAAGATACAAAAAGCCCTAACCATTAAGGAAAAGATTGATAAATTCAACTACATTAAAATTAAAAACTTCTATTCATTAAAATGTTATAAAGAGACGGAAAAGAAAAGCCACAGAATAGGAAAATATATTTGCTACACAAAGAACTATTAGGGAACTTAAATCTAGAATACATAAATAACTCCTACAAATTAATAAGAGAAAGATGGACAACCATTAGGAAAATAGGCAAAATATTAAGGGAATGTCTCACAAAAGAAACACATATAGCTAATAAATATATGCACATTAGAAGTCAGGGAAATGCAATTTAGGGAGGGAATGAGATACTTATAAGAAAACTGACATATTGGCAAACACTAAAAAGAATGCTAACACCACAAGTCAATGAGATTGAATAGCAACTGGTATACTCATGTATTGCTGGCGGGCAAGCCACAGTTCAAGTCAGTATGCCATTATCTATTAATGGTGAATATATGTTCAACACATAACCTATCAATTCTATTCCCACCTTAGAAAAATGTGGGCATATGTGCACTAGTACACAGTAAGAATTCTCAGATCAGTGTTATATATAATTACCCCAAACTAGCAGAAATACCAATGTTTAAGAAAAATTATAAAATTATTTTTACGTTTCTATAATGAAATACTATAACCCAATGAAGGTGATCAAATTTCAGTTATATATGATCAAGTGGATGAATATACTAATGTATACACTCAAAAATATTTATTCAGTGACTATTTTGAGCCAGACATTATTCTGGACTCTTGGGATACATCAATAAATAAAGAGCTGTACCATTATGGAACTAAGTAAACTATATGGTATGTTAGAAGGTTCTGAATGCTATGAAAAAGAAAAAAATGCAGTAAGGTTAAGATTGAAAAAGCTATGGAGTGGTAGTAATGGTGGTTACAAATTTAACGTTGGTCTGGGTAGTTCTCATTGAGAAGGTGACATTTAAGTGAAGACATGAAGAAAGTTAAAGCATCTATCACGCTAACATTAGAGTGAGGCCCCAAGGTGAGAGTATGTTTCAAAAAACTTAACAAGACTGAAATCATACAAAGTACATTCTTTATGATGGATTTAATTAGTGATCCACTATTGTAAGAGATATAGGAAAACACAAATATTTGGAAATTAAACAACACACTTCTGCATAACTCATGGGTCAAAGAACTCACAAAGGAAATTTTAAAACATTTTGATCTAGATGAAAATGAAAACCCAACATATCAGAATTTGTGGATGCAGCTAAAACAATGCTGCATCAATATGACAGAAATCTATAGCTTTAAATGCTATAGATTTAAATGTTTCAGAAAAGAAGAATAGCTTCAAATTTGTAACCTGAGCTTCCAAGTTAGGAAACTAGAAACAGAATAAACTAAACACAAATCAAGCAACCAAAAGAAAATAATGAAGATTAAGAAATAAATCAATATAATGGAAAACTGAGAAAATCAATGAAACCAAAAGCCAGTTCTTTGAAAAGTTCAACCAAATGACAAACCCTTAGCTAGAATGATGAAGAAAATGATAGAGAAGACACAAATGACTAAAATCAAGAATTAAAGAAGAAACGTCACTAGTGACCCGACAGAAGTAAAAAACAATTATGCAGGAATATTAAGACTAAGTTTAGGGCAACAAGTTAGAAAACTTATATGAATGAACAAATTGATAGATATAACTTATGAATGCGGACTCAAGAAAGAGAAAAGACGAATAAACCTATAAAACAAGTAAAGAGGCTGAATTAGTAATTAACAAACTACCCTCAAAGAAAAGCCCAGGTCCAGATAGCTTCTTCATTGGTGAATTCTATCAAACACTTAAAGAAATAATATACATCTTGCACACTTTCAGAAAATAGAGGAGGAGAGAATACTTTCTAATTCATTCTATGATGTCAGTATTACACTGATACCAAGGCTAAACAAAGATATCACAAGAAAACCAAGGACCAATATCCTTCGTGAACATAGATACAAAAATACTTAATAAAATATTAGCCAGCTTAATCCAGTAACATACAAAATGATTATACACATATAAGTAGGATTTATCCTAGGAATGAAAGATTAGTGTATCATCTAAAACTCA